GTACTCGGAATCGAGAGTTTCATAAATAAAGTAATTTACGAATGACTAGTACGGATTATTACGCGATCGGCGCTAGTAATCGTTGTGAGTTCGCAAATTTTCTCAAGTCGAAATCCATCAAGATCGATGTCCAAGGCGCATCACTTCAACGCGAAGGGCGGTGCGTCGTTGGTCGTCAAGTAGAACTTGCCGCGTAACCTGGATGAAATAGATTCGACTTGCTATCAGATGTCAGAGTAACAGGTACAGCAAAGACAGATACAGTAAAACAAAGCGATCTTACGATGTAGAAGCATATTCGCCCATTAGAATGATCGGATTGTTATTGCAATGTCCTTTCTTGTATTTTTCCCAGCTGTCACACATCCTTGCCTTGAAGCCCACCGTACTGCCAATGCTTTCAGTCATGAGCTGATGCGCTCGTGAGTGGCTACAGTAAGCTGCAATATGAAGTAAAAACGACGTTAACGTAAACAAGCCAATGTCTAGATATACTGCACTTTTCTATGATATCTGATCTACGACACGTACTTATCGTCGGCATGTAGGAGCATCCGGGTTGAGGGAATTTCCCGTTATTAGGGTAAAAATCCGCGTGTCCCAATGGCGCCAAGAATCCGAACGCGGGACCGCTCGTATGGATCACGTCCACGAACTGAGCGTCGGTCGGATCCAATCGGTATTCCGGGTCGACGATACCGGAGATGGTCTCGAACAAAGGACTTGCCGGATCCAGACCTTTGGGGAAAATTATTGAAATTAACGATCCCTCTTTGACAGAAACGACGTAATCGTGTTCTACCTGTTATTCTGCCGATACGGCCATCGAGATACGCTCCGGCGAAACCCGCTACGTAGGAGCCCAGACTGTGACCACTAATGTGAACATCCTTGTACTCCAAGTTCGAGTCCCGATTTAAGAATTCCAGGAAATGGGCCAAAAACTCGCCGACGACGCGCGTATTCTTAGCCGCCGCCGGATACACGTCGGCTGCCAGAATACCCCAACTGACGACTATTACGTTCACGTCCTCATAAGACAGATAGGCTGAAAGTGCATTCAAACGTTACCTAGGTCCTGCCTCTTTTGCTTAATTATTCAGTCTGAAAAGCGAGCTGTGACGGTGAAGGACGAAAGGGTCGTCGCGTTTCGTATCGCGCGACACACAAAGTGGCGGGACTCTTCCGAAGTTTATTTCTTACTGCGCGAGAACGAACAAGCGAGAGCAAAAACTCGCGAAACGATTAATTAAGCCGCTATCGCGTCGACCCTTGAACCCGAGCGACATCGATTCCGTGTTTACCGAAATGCTAAGGCCGAGCCTGATTGTCCTCACGTTTTCCTCGCGCCTTGCGTTGAGTGCGTGAGAACAAGCTACGTAATACCTAATTGCACCCACCGTCTATCAGGCCTCGCACCCAAGCCTCTTTGCCGGTATCGCTGAATCCATGCACAATAAACTTAGTTGGTCTGCTCTCGTTGAAGTGCGACGCGTATAGCACCTCAGTGTCGTTCAAGAACAATTGCTCCTCGCCGAACGGATTCTCCCTGCGCAAAGTGATACAGATGATCGTCAGAGTGAGTTCAGTACGCTTCTGCATTCAGCAGAGGTGAAACTAAGCTACTACAGAAACAAGCAAACTTAGTCTTGAAGAAACTCAACAAATACTGAAAAGCGATTGTCAATATTAAATATTAGAAATAGACTACAAAAGAGATAACCTGTTCAAAATGCAAAAAATGATTGATCTAACTAAAATTATAGTTATTTCTGGCTCCAACTATATATTTTGCTTACTCTAATACAAAAATAATAGTAGTAACATGCATATAAAATTATTATCACCAATATTATTATTATAATTGAATAAGAAAATGATTTTTTTAACCATAATTTACAGTAATTATTTCTCTATGTGATTATAGTTACAAATATTAAATATTCTTTTCCCAGTAACTCTTAGTTGAAGGAAAAAAGAAATAACAATTGGTTCATGGTATTTTTAAAGCAAACGTCTAGGAGATATTAGAAGAAAAAGAAGAAGAAGGAGAAAAGCATTACAATAGAACTAAACTCGCGTTAAGAAACCGGCGCGACCGTCTATTGCGGATTATAGCAAGCGAAAAAAACTGCCAATCCATTCGTGTCAAGTGTCATGACATTTTCTATCGCGGATGCGCGTTGTGCAATTTTTTCACTCGTTTCCCTTGGGAAGAAAGAATTAAGACGTCAATGTCCAAAAGGCATCCCCTCCTCTCAATCGGTTCATTCGTCAGAAAGAGAAGAATAAAAAAGGCGAAGAAGAGGGGAAAGGGGCAGTCTCTCTCTCTCAATCCGGGGGCGCGATATTCACGCGTCAACGCGACGCGACAAGGCGCGCGGCGAGGCGCCTCAATGCTCGATAAAATCGATCAAAGAACGTCAGCGCTGAGAATAGAATGCTGGCTGATTGCACATATCATTAAAAAGTGATGCATCCTTCACTACGGGGCAGGCCGTGATAACGGTCACGATGCTTGGGAATTAGCGTCGACATGTGTGATTGATTCTCGATCGGCGCTAAGATACTCGACTAATTGCGATTATAATACATTTGTCGGGAGATCAATACGGTAAATGATGTGTCGATATTTGAATTCGATTTGCGTGGATTCAGTTTGCAAGGCCGTTTCGACGTCGGAACGATTTGTCAGGATCAACGTAGAGAAATTCTTTAGTATCCTTTTGCGTCGCGCCAACGGATTGAGATTTCTTCTTAACGAACTGAACATCCTGTTGTATGCATCAATAAAATATTAAATCTTCTAAGTTATGCTTTACTTCTAAATTCCCAGATAGTATAAGACGTCCTAGGATCATCTTGGACATGTCCAGGATGTCCAGGAACGCCTCCAAAATGATCTAAGCAGATATTATGCTATTTGAGTCTGATTGTCTCTTGAATCTTGATAGATAAAGAAGAATTGTGAGCGCACCTGGTGTACAATTTGAATGTCGCCGGTTCACGTTGCAGCACCGACTCGATGAGCAACGCCTGCGCTTCGTCGTTTAGCAGCGTACCTTCTGGATACGCGCACGCTAGAATTCCAATCGTACAATTAATAAGTATCGATCGACTCGCTCAGAATACGCGAGAAAAAATAAAAGAATGAAGGAACATACAGATCGCGTCTAGTTGTTCGATTAAACAATTTAAGAATCTTGCCGGTGCTTACCTGACCAGGCGAGGAGGATAGCCGGAAATACGAGAAGATCGATGAGTGACATGTCTCGAGGATGCTCTTGAGGATGTTTCACGACACCAGTCGCCTCCGCGAGATGCACCGGATTACTACTTTAACTTAACTCGTTGGCTTAACGCCGGCCAGTCCGTCATTCATCTCGCGTGCGCTTTCTTTTTGCTCCTCGAACTTCTCTCTGTCCCCTCCCCTCTCTCTCTCTTTCTTTCGTGCTCTTCCGAGCTACGATAAGAGCGCCTAATGATCATGACTATAATTCGTTAACACGTTCGTTACCATCCTGGATCTTAAACATCCGCCACGCTGCGTTCTTGTCATAAAATAAAAGCAATTGTCACAAAATCTCGAGGATTTCCGTCAAGTGTTAAAAATTTCTAAAAAAAAACCTTAAAAACGACATACTTATATTTTTTTACTATATTTTTATATATTTACTATACTTATATATTTATACTTATTATATACTTATATATTACTTATATATTTACTATATTTTTCCAGAGGTTTTTTACTATATATTTATATATTATTTATATATTTACTATATTTTTCCAGAGGTCTTTTAAAACATCTTTTAAGATTCCCGTTTCTTCATTGCAGTCTTCTTAATTAATGACGTCAGAAGCGAGGAAACATATACTTAAAGTTCTTGCGGAATGTGTCGAAATAAAAGGTTGTATCTATAAAATAATACTTGCGATCGATTAAGCACATTTGTGAAATGTTTCGAAAACTTTTCTTTTACTCTAACAATCAATAAGTAGCCATACAATTAATGCAACTAAATCATAGGGAAAAGTAAGTTAAAAAGGAAGATCGCACATCACATTAATATTATGGTTATTTAGTTGTTAGAACAAAAAAAAAATTTTCGGAACATTTTACAGATGCATCCAATTGATTCCAAGGGGAGTTACTTTATGGACATATCCTTTTACTTCCCTCAACATCCCTTATAGAAATTTAATACTGATAAGTGATAATTTGGCCAGTGATAATTACTGTCGTTCAATAATTTTATTACTTGTACTAGTAATAAAATTACTATTTATTACTGGCCAATTTATCACAGCCAGTGATACTTTTCTATAAGGGATATTTCTCAAGAATTTTGGACGCACGTTTTCTCATTTATGACGTCATTAATCAAAAGTTCCGCCCTTATAGAAATATCATACTAAGAATCATTGATAATTACTTATTATCCAGTATTTTTAATACTGAAAATAAGTAATTATCAATGATTCTTAGTATGATATTTCTATAAGAGTGATTAACCAAGAGTTTTATAATTTTCTGCTATCTGTAGTGCGATTCTGTAACTCATTGTTGCAATTAACGACAACGAGAATGTCGTTAACTGCAATAATGAGTTACAGAATCGCACTTCTGGGCCCTTAACGCATCATTATACACATTTTACACATTTACACATTTTACACATTTTAAAGATTAGTTCGGCTATACGAGAAAATTGACTTTCAGCCCGAAGTACCTCTGAAAAGAGCAGATACTATTCTAAGTATTTAAACTAGAGCAGAAATGCATACCGTTCTTTCTCTTCGTAAAAGACGTTATGTAAACCGGGACATGGCGTGTTCTGATGTTTGAATAAAATTGATGTCAAAACTTTTTCCCGTTTCATTAGTTAGAAATATTCTAACAGTGCACTCTGCACAAAGTTGTGAGGAAACTTCACTACCGTAAGTAACTTCTCTACCGATACAGGGAGTTTCCTTCTTTATTTCGAGGGCGACCGATTAATTACCAACATTGCGTTCGTCCGTAGCGGGCGCGTCGTTTGTTGTTGCAATTATCGACCGAGTGAAGCTGTGGATCAGCTGGAGCCGAAAAAGAGGCTGGGATGACCTGACGATCAGCAGCGAACTGTCAAACATTAGTCTTGCGTAGTCGATTTCGAGTTTATTTGCAGCCATCCATGATCTAGGAGATGCTCCGTTTCGTATCGTTAGTATCAACGTACTATTATGCGCTCAATTTCCCCGCGATATTAAACATGCATGTCTGTCATAGCAGGATTAAGAGTAACATGAAGGTTAGAATAATACTGGAAGACCTTACCTAGCTGCTCTTTCTTTTTTTCTTTTGCTCTTCTTTCTGATGTCTTGGACTGATGTCTTTGTTTTGCATTTTTATCTAAAAAGAATCGACTGTTATGTTAATGCTGATATGTTGATAAAAAATATGTTGATAAAAAGTTCTTGTTTACCATAGTTAATTGAATCTATCGATTCACTATGTCGCCTGAGCCCACACAAGAACCCATTCAAGAGAGTCTGACGACCTCTAATGTACCCCTGGACGCGAGAGAGGCGAATGACTTAGATAGTGAGGATGAGGATATAGGGATAACGGAATATATTCCATTGTCCCAAGTATCCACTGATGCTGATCCTATATTGGATGAAGATGAGGTATTTGAAAGATAAAATAAAATTTACCTTTGCTTACTGCAAGTTACATCAAAGAAAATCAAAAATAAATTGTAACCGAAACCAAACATTTCCTACATCTCTCTTTTTCTTTTAGAACGATGAATGGCTGTCTGGAGTAGATGAGCTGAATCAAGCACCACCTACCCCATTAATCGAGGCACATCAGGTAAGCATTAGTAGAATATAATATTCTAATCGTAATTTCTTGAAATATAATAGATACAGGGTTGGGTAAATTAATTTTCATTTAAATTAATTTAGTTTAAAGTTATATTGAGTTAAATTTTAATATTTATATAGATTAGAGATTATTTTAACCTAAATAAAGAAATTAATAAATTCAAGTTGACGCATTTTAAAATAACTTAAAACTTAGTTTAAGTTAAAAGTTAATTCATTTAAAATTAAGTTAACCAAATTAACCATTAACCAAATTAAGTTAAAAGTTATTAACGTTTCAACTTAACTTTTAACTAGTTATTACTCAACCCTGAATAATTAAATAATTGATGGATAGTGTATAATAATTGAATAACGATTATATGATTGTATTATTTGTCATTTATCAGAGCTGTGCCTCGGAGGTGTTGGAAGTCTGGTCATGTCCATACAATCGCTCCGACATCGACTTGGACGCGGCCAAGATTAAGCAGGTGAAATCCGTGATGGCGTCCATCACGCTTCCTGAGACTTCCATCCCGCAGTGGGCGAGTACAATTTCCGAAGATCAGTGGAAGGAGCAGCTACTCGTTCGTATTAAAGAGATGCAGAACAAAGATCCGTAGAGCTTAAATCGCGACGTAGTCGCTGATCGCAGCCGAAATCTTTCTTAGCAACCGCGCGCAGCGCGTACACTCTGCGTTATTGAAAATAATTTATTACGACGGCAAAAAAAAAAGAGAGAAAGAAAAAACACGTTCGGACACATTGCGGTTGAAAATCGGATATCGCCGAGCATACATATACGTACATATATTTTATCTAACACGTTTAAGTGAAACGATCGGGCTTGATTTTTCTATTAACTAGGCTAAGAGGCTTTCGAAGCGAATTTTAGCATTATCTCGTTAGAGGAATGCATGGTACGTGCAGTTGTGACGTTAGAACGTAGGAGGAGAGAAATCAAAAGGGTGAACTGATCGAGCGTGTCATTATTGTGAAGCGTATTATTATTGTCTTTGTTCCTTTTTATACGATATGTTGTTTGAAGGCGGATTATAAGAGGTATATGATATATCAGTTTAATTAATAAACGTCGCTCGATGTTACTTGTGCCGAAGTGAATGAGACACACACGGTATACCTTATCTCTCTCGGTGCTACTCGAGAGCGAAATCTAATTTATCTCCAGTCCGTTTCGCATTCCTCGTTGCGCTTGGATCCCTCCGTTTCTCTGCAACGAGCTCCTGAGCTCTCTGAGTTTTCGTCGTAAATTCGTACACTGCGCGACCCGCATTCCCGCATCCGCGATCGTGAGTAGAACGAATGCGGTTTTATAATTCAAATTCGGCGTTGATGACAGCAGCTTTGGATGGATTGAGTTTCTTCCGTAATGCGGCTACGTTGTCCTCTATTTTTATCAATTTTCGATATTTCTGAAAAGATACACGGAATGAGTCGTTAAACTTTGCACATGGACGCGCACGCTTTATATTTATTAAATCCTACATACCTCTGAGGTAGTTCCTGGTGTAACGTACCAGATATAGATCATGTAGCCTGGAATGCATAGCATCGAGGAAAGGCCCGCAAGCCAACCCAATAAGTGACTCCACCATGGAAATTCGTACGAGAGGTATTTCACGGGCACGAACTTGATGATGTTGAAGATGAAGACGCCCTGCGGAGAACATGAGAACATGAGAAACATTTACCAAAAAGACAGCATTGCCCACATGAAATCATCGTCCAGGATTAGGTAACAGCATCCTTACCACACAGATAGCAGGCGTGGTGAACGTCCAACAAATCTTCCACCAGAAGCATGGATAATAACCTATCATATCCCGTATGCCGTCATAGAATCGATTTACACCAAACGCCCACGACACAGAGATGCACTCGAAGAACATTAGGAAGAGCAGACAGAACCCACTGACGGCATACGTGTCTAGCAGTTGGAACACATACATACCGCCCTGGAAACTCATCAAACGTTCAGAGGGATGACTGACATTGATTAAAGCGAAGTATGAATATGTAACCCGCCACCACATATGTATGCTCACCTCCGTGACGCACAGCAATCCAATCAAGTAGGAGATCAAGCATACGATCGCGATGAACAGTTCTTTCCTCTTCCTTAGTAATCGCGGCCACTCGTCCACGGCAGCGGTGACAAAGCCCTCCATCGTACAGAACTGAAAAACGACTTGCTCTCATCATTCAGCACTAATTCACCGATGTAATTTCGGGACGTTCCCGACGTCCGTCGGGAACGTGTTATACCTGACTATCCAAGCCTATCAGAAGGAGCATGAAGAAGAAGAGGCACGACCAGACCGAGGCTCCGGGTAGCTGCAGAACCGCTGAGGGATAAACCAGAAACGCCAGACCGGGTCCTAATTGGTGTGAAACAATCGACTCAATGATTCCGAATCATTGTCACGTCTTCGCTGGGAATTTGTCAGAGATAATAATGATAACGATAATGCGTGCACATTACCAGAAGCAGCTACATCGGCCACCGGTTTCTGCTGTTCGTGAGCCATGAAACCGACCACGGAGAATATAACAACACCGCTCAACAAACTAGTGCAAGTATTCACACAACATATGATGAGAGCGTCCCTGAAAGCGAATGGAGATTCGTCGATGCGTACGAAGAGAAGAGCAAAAAGATATAGATGAAAGACATGGGGAGTGGTACTCACTTGTAAACGTTATTGTTAAACTTATTGTAACTGCCTAGTGCTACCAGCGCGCCTAGACCGAGAGCGTAAGTAAAGAATATCTGCGTCACCGCATCTATCCACACCTATACGTACAATATGATAGTACAAATGATGATGATAGCTACGTTTTAGTTCTCGAACTGCACGATCACGAGAAATTAATAATCAATCAAACGCGAAAGGGTCCAACGACAGCTTGAATCTGTAGTCAGTAAATTTCAAATTTTATTGTCTGTGTTTAGGGTTGAGTAAGTTAATCCTTTTTTAACTTTCAAGTTAAAAACATTTTAAGTTAAAACAAATTTGAAGTTAGTGAACTATAGGTATAATTAATTCTCAGTTACGTTAAAAATTACATAAACAAAAACTAATTCAAAAGTTAATAATTTCTACTATAATTTTTTTTAATTTTTCTTTTATACATTGCAAGTAGCCTATATTAATTTTTAATTTAATATTGATAAATTACTTTAACTTATATAAGGAAAAGTTTATATAAGTAAATTTATATAAATTTATATAAGTAAAAAAAAATTATAGTAACTACTTTATTGTAAAGTTTTTTATTTAAAATTAACTGAACTAATTTGAAGTTGAGTAAAAAATGATTATCTTTTAATCAAGTAATTAATCATTATTCAATTAATTAATCTGATCCATACATACAATAGATGATAATTCAGACTTTCATTGGCCCTTTCTACATTTTACTAATAATATATGAGGAGCTTTTACTTTTAACAATGTGAAACTGCCATTTTTTTCCAAAACAGTTCTTTTTACCTCGGGATCGCCGAGTTTCGAGAGATTCGGAGTGGCGTAATACTTCAAGCCTTCTGAAGCGCCAGGAAGTGTTAAGCCTCGTACCAACAACACAGCCAGCAGCGCATACGGGAAGAGCGACGTGAAGTAGACGACCTATACATTATATATTGAATGAGTGAAGTAGGAGGATTTAATTTAAAGAGCTCATTACCTTGCCGGTCCACTTGACGCCTTTCCAGATGCAGAAATAACACATAATCCACACGACCGCTAATGTCCCAGCCAATTCCCATCTTATGCTACCCACTGCCTCGACACCCGCGGAGATCTGCAGAGTTCGTCTCCTATTCGTAGCAGATGAGAAATAAATTCGCGATACTTCGCGTCATATCGACGCAATTAATCTGTTAATAGCGCATCATCAACGATCCCTGCTAACTTACTCCCAAAACTCCTTGACTGGATCTTTTAGGAACGTGGTGCTCAAATTTCCGATGGACGTGGCGCACATGGTGTCGTTCGACAACTCGTTTTGCCAGCACAGCGCATCAGATGTGATGCAGTAGCGCGTGTTCCATGAGTTATCGCAGCTTCGCCAAGGTACGTCTGTTCAAATAAGAATCCCCAATGGATGTGACAATTTCGTTATTCAATTTCAGTGATCAGGACGTCGGTATGCCGCGCATACAGCGATGTAAATCGACTCACCGGCTCGCAAGGAGACCAGAAAGTAGAAGAGCGCCCAAGCGAGAATGATGATGTAGTAAACATTAGTCCAGCAGGAGAGCACGCAGGTGGCGTATCCGATGCCTGGGGAGATGATCGTCATCGTCACGTAACTCTTCGCGAGGTGTCTCAACGAGACTCAGACATGAAGATAAGATCCGTGCACACGTATAAAGTCACCTTTGAAGAGCGGCGCTATCTGAAAGACACCGAGGCCGCCGATTGTCATCATCTGTCCCAGAGACAGCTCCATCAGGAACATGGGTATACCCGCCAGGCCAAGCGCGATGAAGTAAGGCACCATGAAAGCGCCACCGCCGTTCTTATAGCAGAGGTAAGGAAACCGCCATAGGTTTCCCAAGCCTATGGCCAGTCCCACGACGGACAGGATGAACTCGATCTTCGAAAGAGAGAGAAAGAGAGAGAGAGAAGACACAAGAACGGCGATTATCGGCGATTAGACGTTCGTCCGGCTGTTCTTCTAGATGATGTTGATCGTTGCCTCACCTTGCTGCTCCAGCTTCCTCGTTCCGGCAAGTCTTTGGTCTTCTTGACGACGGAGGATCGTAGGCATTGTATGGCCTCGAATCGGAAATCCGACTCCTTCTCGCCTCCATTGGAGATAACGGTAGTGGTGGTGCCGGTGTTGGTATTCACCACGGGCTCGGCGAAGAGGGCCTGCAGTTCCTGCACCGGATTCACAGGAGCCGTTTGCGGTTTCCGTGACAGAGGGCTGGTAGATCTGTCTACCTTGGAGCGGCCGGATGATCCCCTCGAAGGCATTATTTGTATACGACGAGACGAAAGCGAGATTTCAGGAACTCATCTCTACCAATCGGCCGACTGAGAGAGAGAGAGAGCCGAGGGGAAGCAACGTCAATCGGCTGGCGCGCCAGCGCGACTCACGCTCTGCTTTTCGACTAAAACGCTGGAACCGCAACACCGCGTACTTGTACCACGGAGTGGATCATCGAATCGGCAGAGAAGAGGAAAGAGTGCGTGCGGGATGGGTGAGCGAAGGGCTGATTGACAATTGCCGTCTATAAAAAGTGGCTTGCGCAACGCGCGCATTTCTCGTTCTCTATTCAATGCCGCCGGTCTTTAACGGCCACAGGAAGCCCTTCGAGTGAGCGAACGAAATGTCGGGACATCCGGGACGTCGGATGTCGGGGACAGTATATCACAATAATGAGAGTCTCTAATATAAATAAAACATAATATATTCGTATTCTCTCTCTCGCACGGAGAAAACACTAAAAATATTACTTGCCTAAATATGGTTGCTATAAGGGAATATTAATGTTAGCTTTCGACCATGCATACAAAATGGTCGTAGTAACCATAGTACTCTGGAAATGATACACTAATCTTCTTATGAATATGATATTGTCTATCCATATGCGTTTGAGCAGTACTCTCAGTGCTGCAACTAAACTCTACGGATTTCTCAACTATAGCATTTGTTCTGCAGATCACAACAGAGAAACAGCAATATTTCTTTAGTTAAGACAACTATGTATACGAAGATGTACTAACTAAACATTATACATCATAAGAACTATGATTGTAAGAACTGTATAAATGGACATGTAATTACAGCAACTTTTAGTGTCATATCTATTTCATTTAAAATCACATAAATTTTATCTCAAACCATAGAATATGTGAATATAGCAATCATAGTAGTTTTCTCCGTGTATTAGAGTAGTGAATTAGTGTTCATCGGTCGTCATCATCATCGTCGTCGTCGTCACCGCTCATGAGCGCACTTAGGTGCGTACAAGATATGACATATAGTCAACGTAAAAAGGTCTTGATGATGACGGACGATGGACAACGAGCCACTTCCGGGAATCGCACCGTTCGCCAAATGCGTGTTCTCATCGCTCTCAACCTTGTCCTATTTCAAATTATTTAAACTCGCGATAGATGTTGGCAACCGTGTCGGTTGTTATTTCGTCTGTTGTATATGTGTTATAACGCTTTACAATAATTAACTATATAATTAATGTAATTAACGATTATGAGTAGCAGCAAGTTTGAGGGCAGCAAGAAGAGGGAGCTTTGTGTAATAGATCGAGAAAAATCGATCTTTTTTGCATAAATCAATAGTAGCACACCTGAAAAATACGTATCTGAAGTTATAGATCGAAATTCGAAGTATTAACGAGGCTATTTTACCATCGATTTTATAGCTGCGCGTTACACAGGTAGCGGTCCTTTGTTTAGTTTATTGTATGCATAAACTCCGTGGATACGAGGTGACTCTTAGATGTATGACTATCGACATAGTATCGATAGTTGAGAACGATCGCGCATTACGAAGGTATAGGTTGCTCATGCGTTTGACTCCGAAACACTTGAATTCCGGTATAAAGATTATCAAGATTGCCGTTTTTATTGCTGCTAGTGTTTTCTATGAAGGCTATTATGCCACATTAAAAATTATGGAAATGCTAGAAATCAATATTGGACAGCAATGTAAATTTTTCGCTGATACTCGCTGATACTCGCAAGCGGTTGAAGAAACAGGAGTGCCATAGTCTAATCAACACGAAGAAGCTCGAAGAGAGCTTCAACAAATTGAGCTACAAAACTTTAAAGAGGAAGCATGCTGTATGGACTTAGAATAGCAAACTAATTTGGAATAGCAAAACAGCTTTAAATTTCTAAAAATTGTTATTTTTTAATACCTAAAACTTTAAACGCATTTTTCTCTTATAAATCCTATGAAAAAAACAAAACTTTCAACTTTTGTTTTAGACGAATACAGGCGTTATACTGCACGCCGATAGGCGACTCCGATGCCGAAGCCGCGGCGAAATAACTTTATAATTTCTAATATAACAATTATTTTACAAAATTGTTTTTACTTTTTTAAATGTTTAAAATACTTTAATAGTTTCAAAAAGATCTATTGTGTGTGTGAATTCTTTTTTTTTAAATTCCTAAAAATCATCTTTTTTCTAGCGAGTTACACGAAGCTGTCCCTCTAACGATAGTGATTAGTCAATAACATTAATATAGATGATAACACGCACGGACAAAAAACATAGTCTCAAATATTGCTTTCTTCAGAAATATAACTTCGTTTCGAAGAGGCGAAAGGTGAGAACGTAATGTCCGACAGCACGAAAAAACGACGGATACGATTGTTCAGCGAAATTGCAAACAATACGTACGCAATTATCGCTATTTAGTGTGCGTCTCTCTCGCACCAAGTTGAGATCCTCGGTTGTCCCCTTGGTATCCTTGCGTCGTCCTTATCTCCGCATTCTCGATGCGCCGCAGTCGAGCAGCCGTACTCTCCCTCCGTGATCGTTCGTGATCACACTTCCGGGATCTTCGAGAAATTTTAAGAGGTGAATTCTTTCACCACCCCCGCTTCAAGAACGTGTTCCAGCCGAAAAACGTCCGTGCAAAACGTTTGAAGCCGAGCGCGATTTCGAAAGAGGGAGCCGCGAGGCGCGTTCGCGCGGATGCAGAGATTTCTGCCGCCGTGCCCCGTCGTGATTTACCCCACAATGACTGACGTACGGTCCCCCTCGAGCGTGAACGCACCTATCTTTCCATTCAACAAATTAATGCCACAGTGTCACTCTATATTTAGGCTGCTCGCGGTAACGGAGAGATCGAGTATGCTCGCACAAATCGCGCCGGTCGAGGACGCGATACAATATTTTCTTTCTTCTCGCGTTGCTCCTCGGCTGCGACGGTGTCTCGGTTGTTTTCTTGAGGAACGGTGCAATTCGGCAAAACAACGGTAAATGGATGATCGCAATCAAGCACGAGACAATGGGACGAAAAACATTATACGGCGCTAAAATTTGCGAAACGCAAAATTTACGAATTTAATTATAATAGACACGAATGTAATACATGCGAAAATTAAGAGATCATTTATTTGAAACACGAAAAGTAGGTAGAACTTAACGAATATGTTTCTCATTTGGAAATATTACATTTCTCTTATAAATAGGTAACAACAAATAATACTTAATCATGTACATAAGAAAGGAAACATTGTTGTTTCTCTGTTGCATTGTCGTTTTTATTACTTACGCTCTTCGTGGTAATAAAGCCTTCTACAGGCGTTGATTATCGTGATGTCGCACGTATTTTTTCAAAGAAGAAATTTGTTATCTTCAACTGCACTGGAACTGGGCCCTTATTCTTAAAATGGTTGCGTATACATAAGTGTTGTTGCGTAAGTATAATCGTAATATAAAATAACTGCGCAATGATACTTACATATTACAACGTAATTATTTAAAAAAATAGAGATTTAATAAAAGAACTTAGGTAATATTTATGAGAGTATACTATAAATAACTCATACAACACGCATGTTTAAAAGACGTAAATAAAATATTATTTATTAACTGTGTACATATTTTATTATGTGAAAATTGCATAATACCTATTAAAAATTTTAAAAGATTTATGTTTTATTTGGAATTATAGCCGGTTTTCATAAATATATGAGAATACAATCTAAGGCTTGAGCGCGAGCATAGCGTACACGCAGACGCAGACCCATACAGCAAAAAAATAGAGATTTAATAATAGAACTTAGGTAATATTTATGTGTATATTATAAATAACTTATATAACATGTGTGTTTAAAAGACGTAATAAAATATTATTTATTAACTGCGTACATATCCCAGATAGCACAGAGAATTCAAAAAGAATTCAGTCGTATGTCACCAATTCTGATTTCATTTTCAGATATAAAAAGAATTCTTCAGAGTTCAGTGAAAAGAATTTTTGTATCTAAAAATAAACTCAGAATTGGTGACATACGACTGAATTCTTTTAGAATTCTATCTGGGATTTTATTATGAAAGTTGCATAATACCTCCCAGTAAGCAAGGAATATTAAATTAACATTTAGAAGCATTGACTTCATGTGCATTGTTTGGACATTTTTTAATAATATTGCATTTATATTTTTCACATGTTATTTTGTGATATGATTTTTCTGAATATTATTTAAACGTTTTAAAAACATTAAAAAAATATATTTTTTAAATGTTATTTTAACACACATTTATTTAAGATCAATGCAACATCTTAAAAATATTTCTGCCGATTAAAACGTTATAGCAACCCTATTTCAACATTATTAAAACTTCCAAATCGCGGTCAAAGTATGTTCATGTCAATGATGTTTG